CCCCCCCGCCCCCCCACCGTTTGGAACCTGGTCTGGCTGCCGGAGAGAGGGGGGGGAGAGAGGCGTGGCCGGAGGAGGAGGAAGAGGAGGGGGCGGGAGTGGGGACTCCTCGCGCGCGCTGGGGGGGGGGGGGGGCTGAGGCGCGCGCGCGCGCGCGTGTGTGTTTGTTGCGCCCGGCTCCTTTTTTGAGGTGAGAGGCGGGGAGGCTTCGCCTGAGCAGGTCCATCCCGGAGGGAGTCCCCGCTCTTAGGACGCCGCTATGGGAGGCCGCTGGGCGCTTCGACTGGCTTTGCTGGCGCTCCTGGGCGCATCAACAGGTGGGCGCCGAGCGGCGGTTTCTTCTTTCTCGGGCGGGCGGAGAACTCGCGGGCGGCGCTACTTTATACCTGGGAAAGCCCGCAGGGCGAGCCGAGCGGAGGAGAAAACCGCGCAAGGGGAGGAGGAGGAGGAGGAGGAACGGATAAGGGAGCCCGAGGAGCCGTGGAAATGCAATAAGCCCCCCATACCCCACGCTTCCTATCCGTCCCCCCCACGGCCCAGGTTAGACGGGGAAGCGGGGGGTGGCGGAGGGTAGAAGTGGATGCAGAAAAGACGCCGGCGGTTTCAGCTGGGAAAGCGGCGAATTTCCGCGCAAGTTTCACCTGGAAATCGGGCGGCTCTCCGGCGAGGTTTCGTGGGTTCGCAGTTTGGGTAGCTGATGGGATTCTTTCTTTCTCTCCCTCCCCACCTTTTCCCTTTCCCCCTCTTTCTCTCTCTCTCCTCTCTCTCTCCTTCCCTTTTTTCCTTTTCTCCTTCCCTCTCTCTTTCCCTTTCCCCCTCTTTCTCTCTCTCCTCTCTCTCTCTCTCCCTCCCCATTTTTTCCTTTTCTCCTTCCCTCTCTCTTTCCCTTTCCCCCTTTCTTTTTCTCTCCTCTTTCTTTCTCCCCTTTCTCTCTCTCTCTCTGCCTCCCTCTCTTTCCCTCTTTCTTTCTCTCCCTCCTTCCCTCTTTTTCTCTATCCCCCCTCTCTTTCTCCCTCTCTTTCTCCCCCTTTTTCTTTCTCTCTTTCTCCCTCTTTCTTTCCCTCTCCCTCGCTCTTTCTCTCTTCCCCCTCTCTTTTCCCCCCTCTTTCCCTCTCCCTCCCTCCCTCCTCCTCTCTCTTTCCCCCTTCTTCCCTTCCTCCCCTCCATTCACAAATGCTGTATTTCGGTCTCGACTAGGAGCGAAGGTCCCCCGATCCACGCGCGAGATGCGTGTTTTTGCTTCGCGTTCCGCTCCGCAAATCCCTTTAAAGGCAGCGATTGCGAGCCCAAAGGTGGAGGTTTGCTCCGCCGCTGTTGCGTTACTTTTAAAGTTAATTTCCATTCGACTTCGAGGGGGAGAATTGGATAAGCGCAGTGTTTGAAGGAATCAAACCGGCGCCTCCTTGAATCGCACCGGTGGGCTGTTTCCCAGTCATCTGAAAACGGTGTGTGTGTGGACTTGTTTCAGGAACACACCCACAACTTACACGGAAAATGTGTGGGGACTGCGTAGCTCCATCCTGTCCCTTCAATCTATGCGTGCCTACTAAGCTTTCCCGTTCCCTTCCTTGCATTGGAAGGCACTCCGAGATAAATGTGCACAGGACTGAAGCTTACATACAGCAGAATTTTGGGCTGTTTTCACCCAAATATAAAGTGCATAGCTTTACTGCTCTGGTAAAAAAACAAAAACCCTCTTTTAAAATACATAACCTATATCTTTACAGTCCTGTCCTGCTTTATTAGGGGAGTATGCTCCATGTAATTCAGTAAGACTCAATTCTCAGACTTGTACAGGATTGCTATGCTGCACAATTTAAACCCAGCGGAGGTGGCTTGAAATAAGCAGCAATGTTTTCAATGTCCGTGAATTGGGTACTCCCAGTTGGAAAATAGAGGTGGGGTGGCATTATTTAAGAGGGAATGGATGCAGAAAAACTTTGCTGTAAAGGTTCCAGAGAGGCCTCCATGAAAAATTGAGGTGGGCTATCATATCGCACAAGTTTTTTTTTTTGTACTAACCTTTGCAAAGTTATGCCAACACTGTCTTTAGTGAATTGAGGTAGTACTTTGAGAGGATTTACACTACCCTTCTGGCTGGTGCTTAAAAATCTTGTTTGCACCATGCACAATTAACCCTTGCATATTAACTGTTTCACACGAGAACCAGCTTTCATTCACGCGAGAACCAGCTTTCAGCGTGTCAATCTCGAAACTTATTTGCGGTGTAGGTTGGAAGGGAATCCATACATAGGACAATAGTTGTCTACTACTCACTGCTGGGGGTCAAAGCGCAGTGTGTTTCAATTGTTCTTATTGCGTCCTGGCTTGATAGATTATTACACCAATCTTCCTCTGTTATTATTATTATTTAAATCATATTTGATAGATTGGTTATCTATGTTGCTCTTTAACCATATCCAATCTAACTTTTTAAAAAACACCTTGCTGTACGTTGGCACAGGTCTGAAGTCTCACAAAGCACAATTATTTCACTTGCAGTGCAGTAAAATTATTGGGTTTCTTTTTCTCTCCAATCATTAACTTCCTTCAAGAATGACTGCAAACAAAATTCAGCGATAGAAATAAAAATAATAATATTTGGAATGACTTTGGGCGTTTATACAGCATTGCGAAAACTCCTAGGAGCATTCAGTGTAGTGTTGCACTTTGTGCTCCAAACACCATTATGTGCGCTGTGCCTGTCTTTTGCTTTCTAGGTAACCTGCCTAAAAGACAATTCTGCAATCACTTTGCAGACCTTAGTTGGTTTTATTTCCAAAATATTAATGTTGGGCTCCTTAAAATACTACACACACCCCTAGCACCTTTGCTAAGATATAGTATTTGATGGATGGTGAATGGGTTGTAGGATATGCAACTGCAGTTTCAGAATTTGCCACTGAGAGGAGATGTTAATCATAATTATTCTCATTTACTTCTCCTGTTCAGTTGTAAAGTTGCTTAGGTTAATAAGCCTGTGCAACTTCTATCTCCTTTTCCGCTCGGAGAGCTGATTTATGCTTCTTCGGAAGGTAGGAGTACCAATCTCTTTGCCCAGGGCTGTGCTTGTGGCCCACGTATCACTACATCAAGTGCAAAAACAATTTTAGCGGCCATGAAAACTCACGGAATGGAGGCTACAGAAATTGTAGCTGGTTTTCTTCATTCTGCATTTGCAATGTTAAAAGATACATGAATGGTTCTGGAATGAGGTTGGGAAGAGACACCAAAACTGATAGATATTATGAGTCACCACAATGCAAAAAAGATGTTGAGACTCTGGAAAAGAGTGCAGAGAAGAGCAACAAGGATGATTATGGTACGGGTCTGGAGACTAAAACATAGGAGAAATGGTTGCAGGAACTGGGTATGTCTAGTGAAAAGGAGTAGGGGTGACATGATACTGCGCCAATATTTGAGAGACTCCCACAAAGAAGAGGTGGGTCAATCTATTTTCCAAAGCATTAAGAGGGCAAGACAAGACGGAATGGATGGAAATTAATCAAGGAGAACCAACCTAGAATTAAAGAGACGCTTCCCAACAGAGAGAACAAATAACGGTAGAAGGGCTTGCCTTCACCGATTGTGGGTGCTCCATCACTGGAGGCTTTTAAGAAGAGACTGGACAGCCATTTGTCTGAAATGGTAAAGGGTCTTCTGGTTAACCAAGGGGTTGGACTAAAAGACCTCTGAGATTCATTCTAACTCTGTTACTATTGTATATTTATGAGTGTACATAATTTAAGAACAACTTTGAGTCAAAAATCAACCCTGTTTTTATGGAAACGTCATTTGTGTTCTAACTAGCCAAACATTGTTTCATTGTTTAGGTTAGAACTGTATATAACTTTATTATGGTCTTAGACCAGCAATAGACATCACTATTTACAATATACATAAAAAATACTGACACATTATAATACATTAATAGTGAATAAAAACATCTGTTAAGAAAATACATGTTCTCAAACAGTTAGGGGCACTCCCTGGTTTATATGAGTGGAGACCCAATCAGTATGTGTGTAAATACCATTTTCCAAAGTTTGTTCTATCTCCAAAAATGGTCACAAATTGACAGCTATAATTCTGTAACCAATTTTTTTCTAGTAGACATTGCAGCAACACAGAATTTTGCCACTGCACGCGTAATAGCTGGGTTTGAATCCTGGAGGAGAAAGTCTTCATAAAAATTGTCTGCCCTCCCTGGCAATCTCTCTAGTAAGGGGAGAATATACAATGACCTATTAACTTTATATAACTCACAGTACAATAAAACATGTGAGATATCTTCACCTTCTCCTTTACCACATATGCATACTCATTCTGCTATTGGTATTTTCTTATATCTGCCCTGAAGAAGTGCTGATGGGAGAATATTAAATCTGGCTCTGAAGAAAACTATTCTTTGTTTTGGGAAGGTCAGATCATTTAGATATCTTGCTGATTCCCACTCTCCCTGTTTGATTCTGTCCCTGCTGTGGCAAGCCAACCTATTTAATTCTTCTTGGAACTCCATGTCCATCATTCTACTGATGACTACTGGCTTTGCATGGTCAAAGCCTAGGGACATGAGGAATACTGGGGAGAGTCCATAAGAGCCCAGCTTGTGGTCTATTGCCTGCTTCCAGGGGGAAGGGTAGTTATTAGTCAGTACTAGAGGGGTCAGTCCCTCTGGGAAGAAATGCATTTTTAGCCAATGAATGATCATCATTTTCCAAGCTCTTACCTGAATTTGAGGCATGCCTGTCTCGATTCTTACCTGGGCATTTGGAGTTCCTTTGGGTGCAGCTAAGATGGCTCACAGGAATTTGGTTTGTATAGGTTCTAGCAAGTCTTTTTTTTGCAAGGATTCCTGTTTGTGCCCCATGTAGAATTTGTGCCAATGTTTTGGCCTCAAAAAGTTTTAAGGCAGCAGGTACTAATTGCCCTCCACCGGTGTAAAAAAAAAAAAAAGTGTTTAATTGCATTTGAGGACCTATAGGCTGCTTGCACTGTGTGATCCAGGTGTACTTTCAATGTCCCTTGTGAGTGGAAAATTACCCCAAGATATCTGAATGTCCTGACCTGTTCTAGACTATACCCTTCTGTTTTCCAGGAATATTGTTTAGGTCTTTTACCGTGTTCCTCACAAAATAAGGCCAGGCCTTATTTTTTTTTTGACCCCCCCAAAAATGGCTAGGCTGTCTTTTTGGGGGTGACTTAATTTCCTCCCCCACCTAGAGCAGCCCATATGCACATACCTTGCCACGAGGCCGCTTCTATCGGCCGACGAAAGCTCCCCGAAGGCAGAGTACCCCGCTGCTTCGGGGCATGG